CCCCCCCCCCCGCCGACGCACGGGGATTCCGGGCCGAAGCAGGTGCGTGCGTGTAGTTGGAGTATACTTCTTATCGGGGCTGCTGTGCCGCCCCCGGTAGTGCAGGCGGTTGTGCTCCCGAGAGCCGTGCTACATCCGACTCGAGGAAAATCGGCTTTATCCCGGTAAGTTAGCGTGTGTGCCGGGGAACCCCTTGAACCGGGAGGCTGCTGCCTTGATCCGTTTTCCCAGCAAGAGCGGGGACTTCAGGGTACCCCTAAAAGTGCGTGCCGTAGTGCCAGGAGAGCTAAAAGGGCCTGGGGAGACTCTCACGCCACTGGAGCAAAGCTGACATATGGCTGGGCAGGACCTGGCTGGCCCCGCTGGCTGGACCTTTCCAGGGGTTGGTGTTAGGGCGGCAGCAGGGCAGGGGATTAGCGTGTCTTTTCCCTGAGCAATAGCACACTTGGGTCTTCCTTGGGAGCACTGCCAGCACGGAGAAACAGGCATTTGGGGGGCTTTTGTGAGCAGGGTGGTTCATCTTCTGGAAACGATGGTGAAAAAACTGTTTATTGGGACTTCCTTCAGGGTGGGGGAACGCTTGAAAAAAATCCTTTTGTGATGCCTCTTGCATTTAGAGCATTTTCTGCTCTACTCATGTCAGTGTGTCAGGATCTGGAAAGATAAGTTATACTAAAGTGTGAAGATAGGAGTGCAGTCACCTGCTGTTACTTCTTGCATTTTGTGAAGCACAGCTGGAAAACCCAGAGCCACTTCTGTTGAAAATCTGTGGAGGGGTTTCTGTGCAGTCCTCCGGGACCCTTGGTGGCTCATTTACAGCTACGGGTCAGCTGCCGGTGTAAAATGAAGCAAATCTGCCCATTTCATCTGCATCTGGGGGAGCTGTCAGCCCCTTTACCCGAACTTCAGCACAGTATGCCAGAGCTGTTGCGTGTGGCAGTCTGTGTTCAGACAAGCCCAAAGCTCTCGGGATCAGGAAAGTCCAGGCTTTTTCAGCTAGTGCCCGGTGAAGTCAGCAGGGTGGCTCTCACTGCTGTCAGTGGGTGCTGGATTTGGCCACCGTAGGATATGCTATTGCTCAAACAATGGTGGTAGAGGGCTTGGCTGCCCCCTAACATCAGCTTGTGTCTCTCAAATGGAGTAAACAGTTTCTATTTGTGTGAGTTGACATGACACTTCCTACCTTTTTATTCTGTTTTTTTTTAGGGATTCCCCTGCACAAATGAAGGTGCCTGTGTCTTACAGGCTTCTCACAGGGTACAAAATTGGCAGAGGCACCTCAGTTTCCATCTAAGTGCATGGGAAGCTTTCACATGGTAAAATGAACTGTAGAAATGAATTGTGCTTTCTTAAAGATTGCTGCTGCTTGTACTTATATTGCTGTAGAAATTAAGCAGTTGATTAAGCAGGGTAAATTGAAAGTAGCCCTTTCTGCTTGAAGTTAAAATGCATGCATTTTTACATAATAAGATGGTATCTTTGGAATCTGATTTAACATAATGAGCTAGTGGTGGTGGTAGAGATAGGAGGAGGATTAGCAGTTTGTGCTGCCAGACAGGTATCTGAGAGCGTGTCCTAGGGAATACTTCCATTGTCCAGGCAAGTATTGCAGCATCTAAAGTAACAGCTGTAGATCTTCCTCCTTTCGTGACTGATCCTACTTCCATTTAAGTTGGTAGCAAAAACCACCCACTCCTTTTCTGCAGGAACTGGATTGGACTGCTAACGAATGAAGCTAGACTTTGTGCATATTAAAACACAGCTTTGATTTTCGTGTCAAGCTGATTTCTTTTTCTCTGAAGCTGATTAAAAACAAAAAGAAACTTGCTAGCCGTAGGTACTTCAGGTTTTGTCTGTAGATGAAGCAGTCTTAAAGAGCATTAAATACGTCTGTAGGTGCTGATTTATTAAGAATTGTAATTGTATTCCTTTATACACCTGCTCTTTTTAGTGGGAAAGATGAAATAATGACAGTTTCTCAGTGTTTTGGTGGAAATAATAATGTAAGTAATCCAAGCACTTGAATTGTCTGCCTGGGAGGCATCGGGGAGTTTGAGATCATGTCCTAATATCAAGGAAAACCTCAAATTTCATATTCTAATTTTTTTTTTTTTTTTTAGCTTCCATGAAGTACAACAGATCTTATGCAATATCTAGTTTGAAGGATTTTGCCATCATTTACAGAAGCTGCTTTTATTTTTCCAATAAATAATTCATAGGGAAAAAAATTTTTTTAGGAACTCTGACTTTTTTCACACTGATGTAAAACACTCCTGGCACAGTTCATCTCTGGCAGTGCTAACACTAGACAGGTGATCCAAAATACTTGTGACTATTTTTGCGTTTATGTAACATCTTACAGTGTAATCTGTCAAGCAAGGAGAATGCAGTACTTTGAAAGTGTAAGTAGTCTGCTGGTGATCTACTTTTTATAAGGGCTGGGTGGCAAGAGAGACACCTTCTTTTAACTCAGCTTTATATGGGTAACTGGCTCATGAGAAGACAGCTCCAGTTGCAATGGTGCCTTAACATGCACATGCACACAAATCGGTGCCAGAAGCGGCAGCTTTCAGTTACCAGGTCCAAAGATCAGGAGTGTTCCAAAGGAGAGAGCAAGGTCCAGCTTAAATGTAAGCAGGTTGGCAGTAAGCACAGATCTTCAGTGTAGATGAATCTTTTCCTGATTAATAGTTTGTCGAAAATGGAATTTGCCAATCTGAGAACAGCGCTCATTCTTCAGGGGGATGTAATTGCATATTTTCTGCCACTTGTTTTATTTCTAAATTTCTGTCCGTCAGAGCAACTGTGCTGTCATGAAGAAATGCCTGTTTTCTGTAAATGGAGAGAGAACCTCAACATGTGTTAGTTCTTTAATTCTTTTATGAACAAAGTCAATTTTTGTGTTTGCTGTAGTGGAGGCTTCAGGTTTGTTCAGCATTACCAATGCAAACACTATAACAAAAAATAAGATAACAATGCTGACTGTTCAACACAAGTGGGGAAAGAAGGCCCTGTAAATGCAGTGCTTAACTTTGTGGTTCGCTGTGCTGAAGTTGAGCAAAACAGCGTCCAAAGCAAACGTGTGGCTGAGAGACAGCAGAGGTTTTGTGGAAGAAGTAGGCCTGTATGTCCTGCAGCTGTACAGCACCGATCACAGCAGGGTCCCTGCCCGCTGTCTCATGGCTGTCTGGGTATTAAATGGTGCGGTGTTGTGCAGAATAGAAACTGCACAGTGGCATTTCCTTCACTGATGGCTCCCGATGAATGCTCGGTGTTGTTGCAAAGTGGCCAGGAGGAGCTGTGAAGAAGTGCTAGACCTGCAGCTGGGAGATTCCTCTGGCGCAAAGGGGAATTCCTGGGTGGGGAAGAGCTGATTTGAGGGACATTTCCAAGGGAGAGCTGGGGCAGTCTCCAGGGGCATTGAGCAGCTGGCGGTACAGCCTCATTGGTCTTCAGGAATGGCTTTAAGTTATGATGACAAGCAAGATGGCTTGAAAGGACTGAAGAAGCTGTCAAGTCACCAGAGAGCGAGTGTTTGGTTTTCACATGTCCCTTCTTTGAGAGTGGAGGCTCAGCTAGCTCAAGTGAGACAGCAGCCACCACCACATCAGAGTGACTGTGGATTCAGGCTGCTGCAGTGATATTAAAACTATGCTCAGAGTCCTGCACTGGGCGAGTTAAAACCATTATTCTTCCAAATAAGGGGCTGGGTTTGGTACTCTGCTCTGCTTGGTACGTAAAATCGTAGGTGTTGCCATAAACGTCTGAAGTTCCCAACCTATATAACATGATCAGTGTTTTGAGGAGCAGTGGGCTTAAAGAGGAATTTCTCGTTAATACCGCTCTGGAATTGAGTTTTAAGTGGCGTTGAATGACATGAGTCTCAGTCTGTGTAATTATTAGGAGCCAAAGCCTGTTTACTTTTCTTTCACACCAGTAAGATATATTGGATTTCATCTGACAGCTGCTCTTCCCAGTGAAGTTAGAATAAAAATTGTATTCTTAATATAGTAGAATACAAAGAGAAAAGTGCAAATGTGGGTGGTTTTCTTTTATTGTTATTTTTAAAACTGGGCAGTATATGGAAGTAGCAGAAGAAAGAAGTTCTCTTTTCAAAGGAACCCTGAGTTGGTAGAAAGATCTCAACTCGCTCTAAAACTTGCTTGGATGATCTGTAACAAACACAACTGTTTTCCCGATCCTGTATTTTCCATCTCCCTGGGAAACCCTTGTGCTGTTTGACCCACACTCACCTTTAATGGAAACTTGACAATTATTGGCTGTTTTCTTACAGTTTCTTACAGTAGCTGGTAACATTAGTCTTTAAAAAACTCCTGTCGTGCCAGGCAGGCAATAAGGTTGAGTGAACTGCACTATAGAAAGAACCACCCATGACTGGAGGTAAACTATGCGGATATATGTTGGGGTGGAGGTTGAAAGGAGCGTGGAGGGCATATTTGAAGCAGACTGCAACTGCTACAGCAGGTCTGACTAGTTTGAGATGCCTAAAGGCAGCTTTGTCTTAACTTCAGGTAGCTGTAAAATGAAGTTTTAAAACCTAATTCAGAAATACATCATCATCTTCCGGTGCCTCCACAAACTCTTTACTTTTCATGTGTTTCACAGGCACTCTTTCACCCTTGGAAGAAGCGTTTAATAGATACGTGTACACGTGCATGCATATCATTTGCATATTTTAAAAATACACATTTCATCAAGATAGGAGACTGGTGTTC